CGTGTGAGTGCGTCGGCGATGTTGGATGCGCCTTTTTTGTACGTGACCGTGTAGTGGAAGTTGGACTCCAGATAGTCCAACCAGCGGATCTGTCGTGGGTTGAGATTCGGTTGGGCGCGAAGGTACTGTAGGGATCGGTGGTCTGTCCGTACTGTCACGTCTGCTCCTGTGGGGTAACATCGCCACACCTTGAACGCGTGCACGATCGCCAGCATTTCGCGGTCGTGTATCGGATAGTTGCGTTCGGGCGGGTGAAGCTTGCGGGACTCGTACGCGATTGGCTGAAGGCCGTTCCCAAAGTCCGGCAACAGTACTTCTCCCACAGCGATGTCGCTAGCATCGGTGACGAGCTCGAACGGACGGTGCGGATCTGCGATGTGAAGTACGGGCGGTGAGCACAAAATGTTTTTGAGGGCCGAGAAGGCAGCTTGCTCTTTCTCCCCCCACGTGTACTCAACCCCCTTCCTCAGCAGGTCGGTCAACGGGGCACTCAGCTTCGCCATGTCGGGGACGAACCGGCGCACGTAGTTGACGAACCCCAAAAAACTCTGCAGCTCGGTAAAGTTGGTCGGCGCGTGCCATGCTTGAATCGTCGCAATTTTTTTCGGGTCTATTTCCCCTCCTGCAGCTGAAATAACGTGTCCCAAAAACTCCAGTCGGTCCCGTAAAAACTCACACTTAGACGCTTTTGTCAGTAGGCGGTTCTCACTCACTATCTGAAAAACTGCTTCGATGTCATGTAAGTATTGTGCTCTATCGGGGCTGTAAATCAGTATGTCGTCCAGATATACGATGACGCACTTATCTAAAAGCGGGCGGAAGGCTTCGTTCATTGTCATTTGGAAAGTGGCGGGGGCGTTGGTCAGTCCGAAGGGCATGACGGTGTATTCGAAGGATCCGTAGCGTGTTCGGAAGGCTGTCTTAGGGCAGTCGGGTGGGTTGACAAAATCTGGTGGTAACCTCCCCGAAGGTCAATTTTCGAGAAAACCCGGGTTGTGCGCAGTTGGTCGATCAGTTCGTCGGCTCGCAGGATGGGGTAACGGGATTTGATGGTCTGTAATCTATGCACATGCGAAATCCCCCGTCTTTTTTCGGCGTGAACAGTATCGGTGCTGCGAAGGGCGACGAACTAGGGCGAATGAACTCCTTCTCGAGCAGGTAATCCAGTTGCTTCCTCAGTTCGTCCTGTTCGGGTTGGGTCAGTCGGAACTGTCCCTGTACTGTCGGCTGTGCCCTCGGTTCTAATTCGATCCTGTGGTCGTGCGGTCGCTGAGGTGGCAGTCCTGTCGGTAGGTTGTCCGGGAAGATGTCACTGTACTGCTTCAACAGTGCTGCCAGATCACTCGGTACGTCGGCTAGTAGTTTCTGTAAATCCCCTCCTTTGTCTGCTGCCTCGGCTTCCCGAATGTCGACCGCGTACACGTCAGCTCCTGCCGCTACGGCGCGTTTCATCGTGATCGCGTTGACACGCACCGACGAAGACTCAGGCGAGCCCCAGCAAGGTAAGGCGATGTTGTTACCGTTCACTCGCACAGTGCAGTCACCCGTCGTCCAGTCGATTCGCGGATTGTGTCGTCGCAGCCAATCACGCCCGAGTAAAATATCGGTTCCGTCGAGGGTCGTTGCGAGCATTTCCTGGCTAAACGTGAAGTTACCCCCGCATCGAATCCGAACTCGGTCCACGCGTTCCCGTATCGCCAGTGGCGTGCCGTCGACCAGTCTTGCGTCGATCTCAGGTAAGCATCTGTCCAGTGGCAGTCGCAGTTTTCGTGCTGTGGCAGTGTTGATAAGGCTGTAGCTGGCCCCTCCGTCTACGAAGATTTCAACTAAGTCCGTCCCGATTTTCCCACTAAGCAGTATAGGGCTGTCTACCGTAGTACCCTCCTTATTCGGCCGGGTGTGGTCGATTGCGTGAACCGGCACAATCACCCAGTGAGGGTCGGTTGGGTCGGGCGAGCGGCGTGACCTGTCAGTAGAAGGTCCGTATGCTACTGACTCCCAGCGTTTCCCTGCTGCTTGGTCTGTTTCTGCTGCTCAGCTTCCCCCTTTCCCTTAGCATTTTCCGGGCATTCGCTCTTGCGGTGTCCCGGCCGATTTCACGCAAAGCAGCGCCCTTTGAACGGTGCGGCAGCGGCATTTGTGGCGACGGCACGTATCGTAGCGCCCTCGTTCGTCCCACGAGGCCGATGTCCCCAATTGCTGCTTCCGTAGGACACCGGTCTCGGTCGGCGGAAGAAATCGAGTTTCTCTGCCATGGCGAGAATCTCCTGAAAATCGGTGACGCCGCGAAGCTGGATTTCCTGAGCGATGTCCTGCTTCAGGCCGCCGATGTAGCGGTCGATGCGCTCGCTCTCATGCATGTATCCCACCTGCTCGCATAGCGCCAGAAACCCGCTCATGTAGTCTTGGACGGAACCGAGTTGGCGCCAAGTGCGGAGCCTCTGTCGCGCTGCGATCGAAGCCGCAATTTGCTCGAAACGAGCGCGCAGACCTGCGCACCACGCGTCCCACGTGCGATACTGGGGAACCTCCACGAAATACGACGGCGCCCAGGGTCCGGTTTGTCCTTCCCGTGTCGGTAGAGTCGCGTAGTCCACCGGCTTCGTGACGATGACACGCCACCAGTCCATGGCGGGTCCTCGCAGCAACGACACGGCGTAGCGAATCTTCGCCGTATCCTCCGAGACGTAGTTCGCGTCGAAGAAAACGTTCAACGTGAAAAGCCACGCCTGAACGGTAAGACCACCCCGCTGACTTGGGTCAAAGCATGGCGGGCGCTGCGGCTTCAGCGGCATCGGCGACGGTAGAGCTGATTCACCGGACGGCACCGAAATAGTGACTCGAGGCTGATTCCTGGCCGCATTCGTCGGGTCGGGGTGTGTCGTGCCGTGGTCGTCGTCTCCGTCATGGCGGACAACGCCATCACTTGCGGCGCTCGCGGGTTGCCCCACACTTCCGTGTTGCGATGTCTGTGGTGCGGGTTGAATCGGGGTGCCAAGTGCTTGGGATTGTGCTCGTGCGAGGTCATTTTGCAGGGAGGTGCGTTCCGCCGTTAATGCCACGATTTCTTCGGAGTTTTCGTGCAGTTGTCGCAGCAACTCATCCAGGCGGTCCTGCATGAGGTTAGTGACGTCAATATGTTCTGCCATTCCGAAGGGCGTCGGCTCGTCTTAGTCTAGGTGCAGTCGTGGCTGCACGCGTTTACGAGAGAACGCGAGGACACCGGCTCCTAGGTGCTAAGGTGTGTGAGTCCCTTCGAGTAAAAAATCAAAAGTTGGCTTCCTGGGGTGCGGAGATGCGCGGTCCGAAAAGAAAGAGGCTCTGATAACCAAGTGTTACGGGTGCAATGAATCGAAGTAGCGAGAATTGCAATAAGGTGTCAAACGAGTACAAAATGTGAGCGAAGGCATGAGCGAACATTTATGCGCGAAACATGCAAACGGTAACGCGGTGCGTGCGAGCTAGCTAGTGCTATGCTGGAAGCGAGGTTCGGGCTAGTCCCGAAACGTAGGCCGATACGGCCAGGCCAGCAGTGCGAGGTTTGGTGAAACAGTGCGCGCGAAGTCGGCGAATCCCCGTTAGCAGTAACGGGCGAACAACGGCTGCTGCTGTACGCGATGTTGCCGGGCGCGCTAAGGAATATCGAGAAAATTCCTTACATATATATATCCCTTCCACTTTTAGTTGGAAAGGGGCAAAAAATTCTGGTGTACCTATCATTCCTGGAGAACCCATCTGACCTGGTGTCATACATGACGTGTCATGTTAACGCTGCCACGACGGTCGTGGATCTTGGCAGCGTCGTGGCGGAAGTTAACCATGCCACATCGGCAGACCCTCCCGATTTTCTGTTTACTTTGGTGAATGACTGGGCATGCCAGCGCAGCGCCAGCATTTTCTAGGCTTCGATTCAGCGTATGCAAACCCGGCCATGGTTCTTTCCTTGAAAGACGCGAGGGCGTATGCAAACCCGGCCATGGTTCTGTGATTTCAAGAGATTCCTAACAGTTAACACTTAGCACACTCAGAGCACCTCGTTGCAGACTGGTTACAGGCACGCCACCTGAGTTTGGCTGTTAACGTACGCGATGAACAAAGTGACGGAATGAAACCAAATGAAACCAAATGTTGAGATCAGACTGTAACTCCGCTTGCTTTTCCTGCTCTTCAGAGCAGCCATCGCATCGACTTCACCTTCACTTCAGAACTTACAGATCAGTTTCTTGAGCTTGGAGTGAGCAGCCTTCACTATCTGCCTTACTGCATCTGCTTGTCGTTCGCAGTTCCGTTGCGTTTTCGAGTTAATCTTCTCCTCCCACAGCGCAATGGCGACCGTCGCTGCACCGTCCACCAGCCTTCGCTGCTCCGTACTGCCCTCGCAGGGCAAGGCCGTCGCTGGCCGGCAGCTCGCAGTTGTCTCTGCCAGGCCCGCAGCAGCATTTTCAAGGAAAGCGGCACTTGTCGCGAGTAAGTGGGCAATGTTACACAGTTGTTTTCGTGAGTTACCATCCGCGCGAGTGAGTAGACATTTCTGCGAGTACATTTACTTTCTGGTCAGGTTTAAGTTTCCGCAAGTGAGCAAGCACATTCACCAAGTAGACACTGCGAGACATATGTTTTGCCATTGTCGTCATCAACAAATTAGTGCACCGCGTCGGAGAAGCCTTATCACGCTTTTGAGTCGACTCAAAAGCATCCTTATCACGTAGAACTTAGTTGTAGTGTAATGTCATGACACCACGCGACGCGTACCTCGTATCACTGCTTCTGTCATCTCGCCGTTTCGTGCTCTTTCGCACTCGCTGTGTTACACGGTAACATGATATATGGTGACGTCAGACATATTCGCTGCTTCAGACATCTACGCTGTGACATTACATGGTGACATTGTATGGTGTTAGAGACGGTGCAAGACGGTGGCTTCACCAACGAATGACAAGGTACATCAATCATGACGGGTATCGAACGCCAATCACCAGCTCGACTGGTCATATGGAGCAATGACCGGAATGTTCCCCGGAGGCCACACAAATCTTGCACGCCCTCTCTCCAGATATCAACGGTTGGATTTCCCACAAGCATCAAACATCCCCCTCTCCCCTCTCTCTCGCGTCAAAGCTACCGTCCCCCCCCCCCCCCCCCCCCCCGCCCTCCTCTCTTTCCCCAACTTCGTTCCCCCCCTTTCGTTTCCCCCTTTCCCCCCCCTCCGTCCCCCCCCTCCCCCCCCTTTCCCCCACTAAACCGGGCTGCTCACACCCCCCACCTTTCCCTTTTCTCCTCAACCCCTCCCCCTCTCCCCACCCTATTTCGTCCTCCCAGGGGCCTCGGGGGAGGAGAAGCCATCTCTGGCGGCGTCCATCGCCACGGCGGCAGCCACCGCCATCTGCTTTTAAGGCGCCTCGAAAGTCCTCCCTCCCCCCCTTTTCCAACCCTCCCTTCCCCCGTCTCCCCCCCCCCCCCCTCCCCTCGCCCCCTGTTCCTCCTTCCCCCTTTCTCCCAGGGGCCTCGGCGGAGGAAAAGCCGTCATTGGCGGCGTCCATCGCCACGGCAGCTGCCACCGCCATCTGCGGCGCATGTGTCGCCGTCTCGCTCGCTACTGCCGCTCCCGCCCTCGCTGCTCCCTCGCCCAGCCAGGTGAGGCTCGTAACAGCCAGGTGAGGCTCGTAACAGCCATGTGAGGCTCGGAACGGCCAGGCGAGGCTCGGAACGGCCAGGCGAGGCTCGGAACGGCCAGGCGAGGCTCGGAACGGCCAGGTGAGGCTCGGAACGGCCAGGTGAGGCTCGGAACGGCCAGGTGAGGCTCGGAACGGCCAGGCGAGGCTCGGAACGGCCAGGCGAGGCTCGGAACGGCCAGGCGAGGCTCGGAACGGCCAGGCGAGGCTCGGAACGGCCAGGCGAGGCTCGGAATGGCCAGGCGAGGCTCGGAACGGCCAGGTGAGGCTCGGCAAAGCCAGGTGAGGCTCGCTCTTCCATTCCCTCCTCGTCTTTCCCATTTTCCCATCCCCTTGCCCATCCCCTCCCCACCCACCTCCGCACCTCCCCCCTCCCCATCCCCCCACTGCAGGTGCTTCTCCCCCTGGCGGATAAGGTGCTGGACCTCAGGCAGTGCGACTTCTTCTTCTCAGGGGACAAGGAGAACCCACATCCCTCTCTTTTCCTCAATCCTCCTTCCCATTCTCCCATCTCCTTCCCCATTCCCTCCCCAACCTCCCCCCGCTTCACCCCCCCACCCTCCTCCCCTCTTCCCCTCCCCCCAACCTTCCTTCTCCGCACCTCCTACCCCAGGTGCGCCTGCCCCCCCTGTCCAACGACCCGGCGCGCTGTGAGCGCGCGTTTGTGGGCAACACGATCGGGCAGGCGAACGGCGTGTCGGATAAGGTGCTGGACCTGCGGCAGTGCGACTTCTCGGGCGACAAGGAGAACCTCAAGGGCAAGACGCTGTCGTCCGCTCTCATGTCGGGCGCCAACTTCGACAACGCCGACCTCACTGAGACCGTCATGAGCAAGGCTTATGCTGTTGGGGCCAGCTTCAGGGGTGAGTGAGAGCATCCTGCCAGGGCGCATGCCACATGTTTGGCTAGAGGGAGGCTTTTGCTCCCCTCTCGTTGCAGGCTGAGGAAAGCTAGTCTCACCGAGACCGTCATGGCCAAGTCGTACGCCGTTGGGGCCAGCTCTCCCACCTCTGTCCACATTTGATCCCCACCTCATCCCCACCTCTGTCCACCTCATCATCCCCACCTCTGTTCACCTCATCATCCCCACCTCTGTCCACCTCATCATCCCCACCTCTGTTCACCTCATCATCCCCACCTCTGTCCACCTCATCATCCCCACCTCTGTCCACCTCATTCCCACCTCTGTCCACCTCAGTCCCCCGGGCACCGACTTCAGCAACTCGGTGTTGGATCAGATGCTCTTCAGCGAGGCTGGTCTTCAGATCTTGACAATGCACCATTTTGACTCCTTGCATGCCCTTACCGTTCCTCTCCCACCCTCCTTGTTCAGGTGCGGACTTCAGCAACTCGGTGTTGGATCGGGTGCTCTTCAACGAGGCAGATTTGACGGGAGCGTCGTTCCGCAACGCGGTGCTGTCGGGGTCCACGTTCAACGACGCCAACCTCACCGATACAATCTTTGAGGACGCGCTGATTGGCTACGTCGATGTGCAGAAGCTCTGCCGTAACCAGACGCTCGGGGAGTTCACACGCCTCGAGCTCGGCTGCAAGTAGTAGATTTGTTTGTCTGCCGCATTAAGGCACTTTTTGTGTGAATATGTATGCTTGATATTTTCCACTTGAAGCAATGGGCTGTCAGCAGGCCCTCAGATATCAGCGTAAAACACGCTGATTACGCTGATTTTGTAGCTGTGATTTTCGTTTTCCCAGAAAATTCAGCATATGCTTCAATTTTGCACTGAAATTTCAGTATATCCTACCTTGTCACACTGACCATTTTGCGTGTTTCTTTACAAGAAACACTGACGAATCAGTATAGTGACGTGAGTCACACTGAAACGGAGTTGACCGCGTGTGGGGGGGGGTGATAGGGTACGCATGTACAATCTGTACCTTCCCGTGATTCCTGAGACCCCACCCACACACTTGGCATTTTTTCGCATGCACTGCACAGATATCAGGTGCGCGCCGAAGTGTTTAGCCTCGCTGGAACCTATCACAGCAACAACACCACACACCTTGTACTGGGGTTTCAGCTATAGTTTTTTGTTATTACACTGTTGGTTCAGTTTACTTATGATTTTTACACTGGCAAAATCAGTATAAAAAAAACCGTGAATGCTGATTTGGACACCTCGTTGGCCGGGGCACGCTGATCCATCAGCATACCCTCAAACCAATCCGAGGGCCTGGCTGTCAGGCAAGTATGTTGTCATCAAAGCATAATCTCTTGCAACGCAGCTGTTGTGATGATCTAATTACCATAAATCTTGTCTGGCCTGACAGACAGTTCAATGACAGGCAGATCCCACAAACCTGGGCGCTTGGGGAATTTGTAGTTTAGAAATGAATGATGGCATTGTGCAATGTGCTTGCTTTTACTGCATGGAGTACGTTGAAAGTATGTTGAGGCTGTGAGCGGTAAATGAAACAATTTTGAAGGTTAATTTTTCTTTGCTTCAATTCTTATGCTATGATACAGAAATTGAGTTTCAAATACAGTGGTCAAACAGAAGTCCGAATATATACGTATGTGCTTTTAGAGAGTTGAAGTAAGGAGATGCTGATTGTGGAGACGAAGCTGGTTGTATTGTGCCCTGAATAGTGGCGTCGCCAGGTGACCTGATACTTAGGACGCGTCACCTGAAGCGGATCGGCCGAAGATCGGCCGATCCGCACCGATTGTCATTTCGAGCCCAAGCTCGGTAGAGATCGGTGCCCATGACTGCACAGCTACGGCGCACCGATATACAGGTGACAGGTTCGGTATGGCAGGTTACGGGGTTGTGGTAACCTAGCCTGCGACAACAGCAATGTTGTCGTGCGCAGAATCGCACTGGGAAACCTAGGGTATGCGATGACGAGCGAAAACATTCGAATTTGACTGTCACTTGTGGCGCGAAATTCAACACCCCGCCACCCAATCTCACGCTCGATATTTTTACTTCGCTGTATCGATCAGGGCTCCCGTAGGTGACATGTTCGTGGGCACATTTTTACTGTTAATTCGCGAACGTTCACGAAATTCAGTTACCTTGCTGATCACGACGCTACAGAGCTAACCCCATGCGCAAAACCGATCTTCCAGCCGATCGATCCGCTTCAGGGACGCGTCCTTAGGGCGAAAAAAATTAATGCGAATTGGACACGTGTCAAAAAAAATTTACCCGCAGGACCAGTTTTGAACATAATCTGGGCCTCGCGTGAGCAAACTTCCAGGAAGTCGTACTTTTTTAGTAAACCTGGGGCTAAATATGAGAGAAATCTGAAACACAGGAGCTGGGATGTACTTTCCCATTAGGCAGTCTTAGGGCGTGTCCCATGAGTTCATTTGGGTAGAAAATCATATTATTTACGTAATTTCGACAAAGCAAGTGTACACTCTGACGTGAAAAGCACGCAGCGCGTCAGCACAGCGCCAAACGAAATTGACCCACGCGGACTCATAGCCCCACCCACACAAAAATCGTCATCCGAACATGGGCCGCGAGCGGTAACCCGCCACAGTGCGAATCAACTGTGCCCTTTGCGAAATTTATTTTTTTCTTCGCGCGACTGAATGTGGGCGAAGTCTCCGATTGGGGTAACGGAATGGAGGACCCGGTACGAAGTGATCTCACGTACCTTGTACGTGGGATAGTACGAACATCTTGACGTCCTGGGCGTGTCATCCGGTGCGTCATTGAAGACGCATGTCATGCAGGGAAGGGTTACAGACGGGAAACAGGGTTACAACACTGAACTTGAACTGTAAACTAACTCGTGGGACACGCCCTTACCACTTCGTCACCTGTTAGGGTAAGTATCCATGTCTATGGCACGAGGGTGAAGTAAAAGCGGAACTCTCTTCTGGAGGGTGACGGCCATTCACTTCTGGCGAGGCCTCCCGTTCGACGTCGAACCCTAGAAAATCGATCCGAGTGTAGAACCAGTGATCACTGTCTCCTTGACGTTGCGCTTTAGGAGATCGCTGCGGATAGACAAGGTGATTGTTGTCGTCTTCTTGATGCGCCATGGCAAATCGAACGGATCCAAGGGCGCGAACGGTTCACGGCACGAACCCGCAGAATCTGGTGGAGAAGATTCTGCGCGCCAAGATCTATCAGAACATTTACTGGAAGGAGCAATGTTTCGGCCTCACAGGTTCGTCCTTTCGACTTCGAAAGGGGAATTGTTCATTTAATTTTCTTTTCTTTCGTTCTCATTGCGTCAGCTTTTCGTCGCCTTTGCCGATGAACTCGATGCTGCGTCCTCTTGACCACTTTCTCTCAAACACTGACCTTCTAACCCTTAGACCTCGAGATTATCGGATTATCGTTATGTTCCGCCGTTTCCGCCCTCCCCCCGGCCCTCCCCTCCCCGCCTCCCGATACCTTTCGTGACCTTTGTCGCTGTTTCGCGTTGCGAGTTTCGGTTCCGTCTCTTCCTGTCTGCGTTTCTTCACCCTTATTTCCACTTATGCCACTTGAGTTTCTTGGGTGAATATCGTTTTCCCGGTTCCCCTGTTTTCGTCCCCGTTCCTGCAAGCAATTAAATTTCTGTAAATAAAAACCCTTCATTTTTCGTGGTGTTTCCTCCGTCTCTTCGCGGCAGCTGAAACCCTGGTCGACAAAGCTATGGATCTGGACCATTTCGGAGGAACCTTCGGAGGAAATCGCAAGCCCACCCCGTTCATGTGCCTCATTCTCAAGATGCTTCAGATTCAACCCGAGAAGGAGATCGTGGTCGAGTTTATAAAGAACTCAGATTACAAGTGAGTACGTTACTTGATGTGTCGACGGTCACATCTGCCTGGTTTTCAAGATTCTTCAGTTTTGATCGTTTTTTTTCGGGGATGCGAGTTGGGCTTTTTAAGGGGCGACGACGCTCTATTGTTGGAATTTTGCAACCTACATCGTCTCCTTCCTTCCTTCCCCCCCTCCCCTCCTTCCCGCCTCCCCCTTCCACTCCCCGCCCCCCTTATACCCCTCAGGTATGTGCGGTTGCTTGGAGCGTTCTACCTGCGGCTGGTGAGCAAGCGCATGGACGTGTACCAGTACCTGGAGCCACTCAGCTCAGACCTACTCTTTCCATCACCCAACTCTCATACCTGCCATTCCCCTCCTCTCTCCCATGCACCCCCTTCCTTTCTCCTCAGGTACGTTCGCCTGCTTGGAGCGTTTTACCTGCGGCTGGTGGGCAAGCCAATGGATGTGTACCAGTACCTAGAGCCGCTGTACAACGATTATCGGAAAGTGCGGAGAAAACTGGAGAGTGGAAGTGAGTTATTTGTTCTCGCCTATCTATCGTTATCGTTGTAAGTTCTAGGTGTGTCTAGGTTTGTATATGCGCTAGCCTGGGAGCCACCAGGGACGTGTACCAGTACCTGTGAAGCCACTGTACAACGACTGTCGAAAAGTTCGAAGGAAACTGGAGAGCGGAAGTGAGTTCCCATTCTTGTCCATCGTTATCCTTGAGAGGTCTCTAAGTGTGGGCTAGGTGTCTAAGTTTCTGAGTGTGCTAGCCCGAAAGCCACCAGGGACGTGTACCAGTACCTGGAGCCTCTGTACAAAGACTACCGCAAAGTGCGGAGGAAACTGGAGAGTGGAAGTGAGTTACTGCTCTTGTCTTTCATTATTGTTGCGAGGTTTATTTGGGTAGGTTTCAAGTGCTCTAGTGCAGAAGCCATTTCGGACGTGGAGCCATTCTAAGCGTGTATAAACTTGTACCTGGAACCTTTGTACAAAATTATCTAGGAGCTTCTCACACTCGACTCCAGTCACAACATCGCTTCACCACTCCCCCCTTTCCCCCCTCTGCCCCACCCCTCCCCCCCTCCTCGCACTACCTCGTGCCTCCAGCCTTTGTGTTGTCGCACGTGGACGAGTTTATTGAGGAGCTTCTCACACTCGACTCCAGTGTGACATTGCTTACCCCCGCCCGTCCCTCCTTTTCCCCATCCCCCTCCTTTCGTTCCCCTCTCCCCCCTCCGTGCCTCCAGCCTTTGTGTTGTCGCATGTGGACGAGTTCATAGAGGAGCTTCTCACGCTCGACTCCAGCTGTGACATCACCTCACCTCTCTCCCCCAATCGCCCCCCCCACTCGTCCCCCCCACTCCTCCCCCCCACTCGTACCCCCCACTCGTCCCCCCACTCGTCCCCCCCACTCCCCCTTTACTGTGCACTACCCCACACCTCCAGTGTTTGTGTTGTCGCACGTGGACGAGTTCATAGAGGAGCTTCTCACGCTCGACTCCAGCTGCGACATCACCTCACCTCCCTGCTCCCCCATCACCCCCCGCTCGCCCCCTTCCACCCTTTCTTTCCCCCTAGTGTTTGTGTTGTCGCATGTGGACGAGTTCATAGAGGAGCTTCTCACGCTCGACTCCAGCTGCGACATCGCATTGCCTCGCATACCTCGCAGGTATGAGGCTTGCTTTTGATTCTAACCTTGTTCTCTGTGGTCTATGTTGCACGTGTTTTGCTCCTGGTTCGAGCCCTTTTTCTGTTTTTTTGTCCGTCATGTATTCATAAAATTCAATGTGGAAGTCTTCCGGCAGTTTTACTATCTGGTGTTTTTTTTTTTTTTATCTTCTTTTTTCCAGATGGACGTTGGAAGCAGCAGGGCAGTTGGAGCTGAGAAAGAGTGGGTTGGATTATGACGAGATGGAGGAGGAAGAGGAAGAGGAGGAAGAGGAGCCAGAACCAGTTGCTGATAAGGTACGACCTAGTCCTCTTTCCGCTCCTGTTGAATGCACGGATGAATGCATGAGAAAGATTCCTAATTCATTCGTGCATTCCATGTATATTCTCTTTGTTTCTTTTTACAACCTGTTTTTGTTTTCGAATTTCTCCCGTTTTTGTCCGCACATACATGTGTGTCCAGGCTGAGGAGAAAGATCGGTATCGGGAAAGAGAGGGTGACCGAGACAGGGACAGGGGCAAAGAAAGAGATAGGGACAGGGACAGGGACAGAGACAGAGACAGAGACAGGGATCGAGACAGGTATGTGCCACTGTATTCAGTATCCCACTGTACTCAGATAGTTTATTTCAGGTACTTTTTGTCTTTGTTTTCCTGAGCAACGTTTGGTAGTGTTTGCAAAGTGCCCTTAGCTATTTGTTGTTTGAATTCCGCTCATTAACTCGATAGGGAGAACAGCCGACTGTGCATTTTCTGGGAAGCATCCTCTTGGGAAGCGTCCTGAAGCAAGCTGCAGTTGTGCGTGCAAGGCGGCAAGAGCTCATCTTTTTTAGGCAGTCCTTCAATGACTTCTTGTCATTGCAAGGCTGCCTTTCCCAGATGGCCCACTCACTCTTGTCCCCTCGTTTTTTTCATGGACGAGGGTTGCCTTTGTGTCATATGTTCTCCCAAGAACAAACCTATTTTTGTACTCCTTATAGAGTTCTTCGGAGCTCCTTGAGTGTGCAGTCATGGGTATCAGTGCTTCCAGGTTTCCCAGTGCTGGCAGTGCTCTGAGAGAAGTATAAAGCACTGAACATCATTGGGTGTTTTTTGGTGTGGTTCATAGATGAATAAAGATGAAATGAGTAGCGTGAAGTGCGCTTAAGGTCAGATCTGTACACCAATAACATCTCTCTGTTTGTTGCCTCTTTGCTTCCACCTTTGCAGGGACCGGGATAGAGACAGGGACAGAGACAGAGGCAGGGAGAGAGAGAGAGAGAGAGACAGAGACAGAGACAGGGACAGGGACAGAGACAGGGAGAGGGACAGAGACAGGGAGAGGGACAGGGATAGGGATAGGGACAGAGATTGGGCAAGAGACAGGGGTAAGGAGAGAGACAGAGACAGGGACAGGGATAGGGATGGGGGAAGAGACAGGAGCAGGGAAAGAGATAGGGGTAGGGACAGGGAGAGAGACAGGGATGGGGACAGGGACAGGGAGCGGGAGCGGGATAGAGACAGGGACAGGGATGGTGATTCGAGGAAACGCGATCGAAGAGATGAGGCGGCTGACGAGACCAAGTAAGTATGCTGTCCATAGGGTTTACATCACCAAATCTCTACACAGCACACATATATCCTTTGTTGTCACATAGTCGTTTTGCTCATAATTGTTTCGTTTTTAATGTGGCAGGGAGAAGAAGAGCAAGAAGAAAGAGAAGGCAGCAGATGGGACAGATCATGAGGATCCTGAAATCGCGGAAGCCAACAAGCTTCGTGCGAAACTTGGATTGAAGCCGCTTCGTGCTTGATTTTTTTTTTTTCATAAATATATCCTTGTTGGCACATTGTTGTTTTGCTCGTATCAAATCTCCAGAACGAGAGAAGGTCGAGCACATGTAATCTGGCCTGACAGTGACAATGCTTCCAGATTTTCTTCATATATTACTACCGGTATATCCTGAATCATTGTCAGTGTTACATTGAAATGAGTCAGTTCAAAAAGTTGAGTCCTTTTCCTGGCAGTGGCTGCTTCACGGGGATGCGCAGCGCTTCCAGACACCAAGTGCAGAGGGCTTCTAGGGTTGGTCACAGATGAATCGCTTCATGCCATTTCCTGTAAATCAGATTCAGTACACAAACAGACTGTATCATCCAAGGTCACGATTTTGGGACGATTCTGGACGCTGAGGCAGAATGTCGTTAACGAACCTGCCGCCTTCCCTGAACGATATCTCGAACCAGCTTGGTAGAAGCTTCACCCAGTTGAAGTGAGTCGGTTGAATGAGGTGAATATATAGTACGCTTAGAACCTATGCAGAGTTTGACACTCTTTATCTGTTCCAGGACCACCTTCTCAAAGATTGACAAGTGCGAAGACCCTTCTCGACAAAGCCAGTTGCTGGAAGATGTCACGCCTAAACTTAGAGTGCAGAAGGTGGATATGAAAACTCTGCCGTTGCGTCGAAGTTGCGTAGTCGCGTTACTGAGCAAACGGATCTTATTGCAGGTTGATTCAGGAATTCGAGCGTGACATGAAAGACCAAGAAGCTAAGAACTCACCAGAAGTTAACAAATTGCTGCAGGAGAAGAAAAGGAACCTTGTGAAAGATTTGAACGTCTTCGTCACTCTCAAAAAAACGTTCGTACATGGTGTAACATTCATGTCATTACCCCAGGTCTAATCATGAGGCTGTTTTTGCAGCTACCAGAGCGCTATCCAGGAAGGCCAGAAGGTGAAGCTGAGCGAGGATGGAAGAACGGCTGAAGTTGTGGGAGCTCCCCGGCTAGCATCTGGTAACACTTCCTTCCTGGTTGACGTATGAATTTCCATCTGGCTCCGCAGCCGTATTGAGCTTTCATTCCTGATCTCCCTGCAGCGATGACAAATGCTCAGCTGATGGAGGAGGGCAATCGTGTGATGGGACAAGCGGTCTGTTCTAAGATCCAAGCAGGTTCTTTCTTGCTTCGAAGACCTTTGTCGAAGGCGATGCATATGTTTATTACCGTATGTGCTTTTCGTGTTTCAGGTAGTTGAGAACACTATCAACATTGGAGCAGCAACGGCCACGACTTTGAAGGGACAGGTATGGCGCTGAAGATTCTGCCTTGTAAGTGCGGGGTTCTTACTCTTGTGTGACGCGTGCAGACCGAACAAATGGAACGGATTGTTGATAAGCTTGACAATTTAGAATTCTCCCTTAAGCGGGCAGCCAAGCTTGTGAAGGCATTGGGCCGACAGGTGAGTCAGATGATGGTGAGTGCTCTCTTTTCCCTAAACCATGCGACCTGCTTAACACAACCACTGAAGCAGATGGCAACAGATAAATGCATCTTGGCAATGCTGGCGCTTGTTATTCTTGGAGTGATCGCCATCATAATCGTCAAGGTGAGTTGGGCCTTTGCTCCAGTGACTATCCCTGACATCTTCGCCTGAACTAACTCTCAACTGGTTGCAGATCGTGGACCCGCATAACAAGAAGCTAAGTGACTTGGGTCCCCAAGCTCCTCCAGCTTCAAACTGAATCTTGTCTTCGAATGTTATTCAGTGTACAATGTCATCATTAAGCAGAAACATTCACTAGATTACAAGCAGCATATGCTCCCATTTCCCGTTTAAGACCCCGTTCCTAGTTGCAATCCACGATATGCAGTTACATCACAATTCCTCTCACATCACCCCCATGACGGTACTTCACAAGCAAGAACTCCACGGGAATGATAAGATAGAACTACAAACCGTAGTAAAGGGTCTCTTGCTGCCCATTCACTATCAGGGTGAAGGTTGCCGCCAGGTGATCACCTGACATGGTAGCTCCCACCAGAGCAGCCATAAACTTCTGCAGTCCCAAGACGCCGGCCGTGGTAGCAGCTCCCGCGGGGATTTTCACGTCGACATACTTGGAGCAAGTGAACACTCCCTTGATGTTCGATGTGAAGGGGCATGCTAGGGTGAGAGGGGCAGACTTGTCGGCTCCGACCTGACCCACCAGAGAGACCTTTGAGTTGGTGTTTACGCCCTTGGTGAAGGCCAGGTGCACCTCGAGAGTAACCTTGGTGTCGCTGCTTGACGGGCAGAGAGAAGGGGCAGAGAGAGGGTGCAGGAAAGAGGGGGGACAGAGAGAGTGGGCAGAGGAGGTGCAGATAGGGGGTGCAGCAGAGGGGGGGCAGCAGGACACAAGAGGTAAAGCAGGTGAAGGGAAGAGCACAAGCTGAGTTTAGTTTCACGCCTCTGATGAGGGCCAGGTGCTCTTCCAGGCTGACCTTGGTGTCGCTATATGGCGGGGGGATAGAGGGGAGGGGCAAAGAGGGGGGGCAGAGAGGGGGGACAGAGAGAAGGGGGGGCAGCAGAGGACACAACAAGTAGAGCAAATATAAGTCGATTTGCTTGCTTGTAGTTTTATATTCTCGGAAATTTGTCATACTAGGTTTCCTCCCTGACCAGCTTCACAATCCCAAACCCCTCGAATGCAGCCTCTCTGGATTGGCTTTCGCCGTTACCACTCTCATCGCAATAGATGTTCCGAAATTAGAAACTCACGTGCTGGTGGCGATGCGGATCTTGGCTCCCCCAGCCACGGCCCCCGAGAACATGGCTTGGAATCGGCCGCCTGACATGGATGGCAGCACTGAGAGGCCTGGCACATGGGAGGGGCGGATGGGCGCATTGGGAGAGTCACAACGGGAAAAGGCGGAATGGGGGGGGGATGCACGAGGAGGGGTGCATCAGGGGGATTGCAATGGGAAGGGTGCAATTCACAGAGTCCGCCGCAACGCAGTATAACTTGTTCTGTCACGAGTAATCATAACGAATGGATGGAAGAAGAACACAATCTGCTTTGCTGGATTCATAACTAGAGCGTCCGTACCAGTATCGAGAGATCCGATCTTCGCTAGCGATCCTGACGCGGTAATCGCGTTGCCGTTCACATCCGCGTGCGACACTTCGGCCCCGACACCAATCAAGGCGCTTCCTAGAGCAATGGCCCCCCAGTCGAGACTCCTAGTCAGGTCCCATACACCCGGAGCCACCAGTTTCCATTGACTGGCGTCCGACGCCAGAGACGTGCCATCGAGTAAGACGTCCGTTGGCGGTTCGACGGTTCCCGCCATGACCACCCGGAGAACCACCGGGAATAGGCCCGTGCTGGGGTGATGGGAGCGCGAGGAACGGACGGGGAGAGGGAGGAAGGGGGGAGTATGAATAACACGGAGGTTTCAGAAGTCAGCAGAAACGGCGGTTTATCAGCCGGCTGGGTTGGAGAATCTTCGTGATATGGAGGAATGAAGGAATGCGACGGCACGGGGAGACTTTTGGAAGGCCGGACTTACTCGGCAGGCATACGCACGATCACGGTCCCCTGCGATTCGTATGACGACACCACCAGAGCACTGTAGAATGCTGCAAAGATATGGAGTGGGAACGGGAGAACGAGGGGTTAGCCGCTGAGACCGCTCTAGTCTCAGAATGGTAACACAAACTGAGCGTGACGCTGGGTCAAAGCGGTGACGCGTATGGACTTACATGATTTCGAAGAGGTTGCTGGAACGAATTTCTTGATATCCGCGTCCGCGACCTCGAACGCCGCTGAAGTCACGGTGACAGGCGCCGCGCAGAGGAGAAGCACGAGTCCTGCGGCGAAAATCAAGTGTATCGTGTATGATTTTTTGTTTTCAGCGTAAATCGATGTAAAATACAACCGCAAAGGCTTCGATTTCTTTCAAAGATGAGGGTAGCTGTAATGAACGGGCCATCTGAATTTTGCGCCTTGAAGATTCTTACCAGGAAGGCACATAAGGCAGGATACGAGCCAATGCGGAATTGCGAGGCGGGCCATGACGACACGTTTGAGTGAAATGCCGTGAACGGACAATGGAGGTAGAAAGAATTAGCAGAAGAAGCTCGGTCTGGTCTGGAAGAAAACTGGGTAGGAGCGAGAATGAGCAGAAGTGCAAGCGGGATTGCTGCTCGAGAGGTGAAAAGCACGATGTGAACTGATGAATGTTGTGAAGTATGTTATGTACTGTGTGGAGTCGTCTGCTTGGGAAGAAGGATGGGGTAGAGGCGGATAAGCTTGGCTGAGGAATTTACGGAGGCTTACAAGGGATTAATATGCGTTGCAGAGAGATAACGATGGATAGAGGTGGGCGGAGGAAGGAATGGATCGGGTGGGGCGATGGGATTGGAGGTTAGAATCAGGCACTGCATTATTGGGTGTCCGAAGCGCGCTATTTGAAAATCGCATTGGTGTGTTTGGTTGGCAGAAATAAGTTTTTGCTTCCGATGAAGTGATTGGGCGAGCTCATCTTGAAAATCTGCCCGCCCTTGTTGGGCAGCAATAATGCAGTACCAAATATTTCCATGACACGGGGCAGAAACCTTACGTGCGAAAGTTGACATCCTGAATTACCACCACCCTCTGTGGCACCCCCACTTGCGAAGGGTTTCGTCAGAAGTCGCTGACTCGTTCAGACACCAACGAAAAACCCGTTTCAGCGACACAAACCCAACAAACAGCTCCCTTTCAACCATCCTCCTTCACGGTCAGCCCCGTTCATTTTAGGATTCAGTGAACCGCGACCAGCAACAGCCCGCAGCTGACGGAGTCTGACGGCTCTGTCAGATGAGGAACGGAATTATTGGTGTGCTGATTTCCGTCAGCTTTTATTGTTCTTCCTCCTCTCCTCTCCCCATCGCCTTCAAACGGTCACAACCACCCAGCCACACGGTAAAACTCAAAACAGTTTTCCACCGTGTGAAACCGTCCTGCGCCATGAAGCACCCCTTCGCCTCATACATCTCAACCAGCCAGCCAGTCAATCAGTTTCCCAGTTTTCTTCCTAGCTTTCACCATTCAGGAACGCGTACATAGCTCAGCCTATTTCCTGCCAACTAGGTTCCATCGGCGCAGCTGAGACGCGAACGTCTCTTGTTTCGTTCCGTGAATAACGGAACGCACGAAGCCTCTATTATTTCAATTCTCCAATGGAACGCGGACGTAAGCATTATCGATGGACCCCTGGCCAAATGGTTGACGGACCGGCAATGACGGTCCGGGTTTCGCGCTTACCTCACACAAAGCTGAGCGATGCGTGTTCACTTCCACCCTTCGACGCAAGCCATCTCATTCGCAAATCGTTTATTACCACCATCAGAGCCACATCCTTTTCTCATCAACAGCCTTTCTCTTCCCTAAACATTCCTTTCTAAGAGCTCCTTCTTCTCTTAAGACCGCAAACACTGTTGCAACCGCGAGTTCCTTTCACATCAGTGGTATCGCTGTCTAGGGCTTCTCAGCGACACAACAGAAACACCCGCGATGGCTCTCCCCCGTGTTCTCACGTGCCTCCTCATCATCGCCAGTACGACTTCTCATCAACCTGTGCCTCTCTCATCGATCGCTGGGCTGTTAATCAGGCTTATGAAAAAAAAAAAACCCATCGCCATGCTTTTTTCAAACTACGTCGTGTTTCGCTGTCGTTTTAATCGTTTTTCATCATTCTGATGAACTTGCTCTTATCATTTGTAATCATTCCAATGAACTCGCTATTATAAATTTTCCATTATTCTGGTTAGCTTGCTTTTTTCATTGTCATCATTCTGATGAACTTGCTTTTGTGGTCCTCTTCAGGCGTGCTGCT